GCACATGGTGAAGCTGAGGGGCGAACCCAGGCAATTTAACTTTAGACACCAAATTCTTCCTTGCAAGTTAGCGATGAAATGAAGGATTGGCCACTAAATTGTGTCAAGATAGCTCTTAAAAATAATAATAATAATGTAGATCCCTAACTCTTCATACTTCAAAAAATTCTGAGGGATCAAGGGAAAAAAAATAAGTATTCAACCCTATAAGTAGTTCTTGAAAATAACAAAGAATACTTATCACAGCATTTTCTGAGCTAAAGTAAAACAGAAGAATTGCAAATTAAAAGAAGAATAGATATTAAACAGTCTCCTTTGGTTCTACTTCTCACTTCTGGCCTGTCAAAGTAGCTGCCATTTCCAATCTCAAGTTCTCTGAGCGCTGCTGGGAATGGCTTCCTTCCTGGTTAAAACCCTCAGCACTCTAGTTTAAGCTATGGCTTCCTATGTTTGTTTTTCACTACTACCATTTTCCATACATGTAGCAACATCTAGAAATTTGTTTGTATCTCTCTTTTTCAGAATCTTTTAAAAAATGGGAATGGGGTTTATGGCTCTGTAACATTTTTTGCTATTATTTAAATGAATCCCCTGATAGTTAAAATTTGAAACAGTCATGAGAGAATAGGGTTTGGGGTCATTATTAAATCATATGATTTTAAAAGACGAACTGACATTATCATGTTTTGTTACCATTTGGCACAACACTTTTTAAAAGCAAATTTGCAAAATAGAAAAAGAACATTATTACTAAATAATATTTATAGCAAAAGAAACTTTAAGGTATATAAAGAATTTTACCCAAAAATTTAAAAAAAATGTTTTTAACTTGTAGCTGGACACAATATCTTTATTTTATTTATTTATTTTTATGTTGTGCTAAGGATCTAACCCAGCRCCTCACATCTGCTGGCGAGCACTCTCCCACTGAGCCATAACCCCAGTTTCCCATTTTTTTTACAGTATATTCTTTTAAGAAAATGATCTTAAGTATGAAAACGATTTGAATCTAAGTTTGATTTGATCAACAGTTTTCCACTGCAGACTTCTTTGTTAATATGAGAAAATGTAACCAGTTTAAAATAAGGTAAAGGAAATATCTCTATATAATATTTTATAGATATTAAGAAGTTTTAGAATCATATGAAAACATTTATTCTACAATATTAAATAAATAGAATACAAAGTTACAGGGAAATAGTAGTTATTTTAAATTTGCATAGAAAATTGCCCTGAAATGCTAAAAGTGGAAGTAGGGTTTGTAGTTCTTTACTCATTAAACAGAAACATTCTATCCTGTCTATTTTTAGCTTTAGTAAATCCACATGATGTATTTTATAAATTTCCAAAGGGAAAAAAAATCAACCTACAAAATATCAACAAGAACAACAGATTTGGAGATTCCCCCTACCATATACACTGCAACCAGAACCAAAGAGGACTCCTTCATTTTCATCTATTCTGTTATCTACTGTCTCAGCCACTTTTGTCAACAAAGTGAAATCTTAACCTTGATAACTTTGGTCCCCATTTCTGCTGGAGTGAGTGCTTCTCTGAAGAGAGAAAATAAGGAAAATGAGTAAAAGTATTCAGAAAATGCAGCAACTATAAGGTTACYTATTTTCACCTTTCACATTTCTCAAAATAGTACTGAAATATTTTTAAAGTAATATACTAAATTAAAATGAATCTTAAACTTTATCTGCAAAAGTGTAAAATGAAATTGTAACCACAATAATCTTTTTAAAATACCCACGTAGTTATATTTTCTTTTATACTATAATATTAAATACCCTAGATTTTTATAAGCAGGGCATTTGTGTTAATATATGAATTCTAGGGCTAGGGCTGTAGCTCAGTGAGCACTTGCCTCGTCGCACATGGGAGGCACTGGGTTCGATCCTCAGCACCACATTAAAAAATAAATAAATAAAAATATATGAATTCTAGATCTCACAGTGATTAATCATCCTAGTACTATCACAAAAAGTAAATTTAAGACACATTTATTTTGATCTGAGTCTGCAAATATTTCACATGAAATTAAGTGTAAAGTACGTTTTCCATTTGAATGTCATTTTTTTTTCTGCCAAACTCCTGGTTTTATCTATGAAATTCTCTGTAGGCACTGTTGTAATTCTTATTATTACTCAGGGTAAAAAAAAATCCTGTGTGTTTTATAAAATGGTCTATTATATTTCTTAATAACTAAGTGTGAAAAACAGAATTTAAAATGTTGCTGGAGCAAAAGGTCAGAATAAAAGTTTCAGTTGTTCATTATTCTGATGCATGGCATGGAGTTTCAGAAAGCATGTTACATCACAGCAATCCTTCATTTGAGTTTGTATTTGATTGCTTAACATCTGTGCATTAAGATAAGTTATTGCAGAGACCTCCTTTAGCTTAGATTAGTTTGGAACACATCCCAGGGTATTTAATCAGGATATAATCCAGCATGGTGCAATCTTTAGAAGGTGTGCATGTTTTTAATGAATAACACTTTGTGGTGGGTTTGAAATTATTATGCTTTTTTTTCTCTTTTTTTAAAAAAAAATCTGCTAAGAATGTCTACCAACTCACTTTTTGATTATTTATAGCTCCCTGCAAATATAATAGTTAATATTGGATTTGAAAAGAACATCAAATTTAACTGTTACTTCTAAATAGTTGGCTCATTTTGTACATGTCCACCAGATTCAATATGAACTGTGTTGAAAGGTATTACAATATTCTATCATAATCTAAATAGTTCTCTAAACTTTATAACTCATGCAAGTAATTTCCTCTTTAAATTTATTTGGTCAATTTCATAATATGAATAATTTTTGTAACTGAAAATAGAAATTGGGAGGTAGTATTTTAATAAAAAATAAACATCTCAACATCTTTGTAGTTAATWTTGTTTTCAAGTTGAGAAAAGATTAGCCTCCACATATAATTTTAAAATATGGATTTTAAGCTGTTGTTGTACATAAGGAAATAAGCTGAGAAAAATTTGGAGTTCTACAATATTTTTACAGAATACTAAAAACAGATAAAATAAATTAAGCATCACAGAAAATGAGTAAACAATGTGCAAAAATTATTATTTATGTGTAAAAACTATTATCTAAAGTATCGTCTCTGATGTAGCTTATCTTGTCATTGTTATCCTTTGAATAAATCAGAAATAAAATTTAATGAATTTTAAAAATTTAATTTTTACTTAACTTTAATAACATTTTTAACATATTGCTCCTGTAGAAATTCAAAATTTAGAACTTGTGCAAATATGACACTAACAATTTATTAACTAATTTTTATAACACTTAAAATGTGGGGCAAAAAGATTGTGGTGACAGTTTTCTAGAACTTATTAAGATACATAATGAAGAGTATCCTTTCTCTGTCTTTCTATTATAATATTATGCGTTCTACCTTTTTACTTAATTTAAACCCTTTTTGGAAACTTTACAATTATAAATCTTTTTGTGTTTTCTGTATGTAAAAGAAATGTATATTTATCATAAATATGTTTTAATATTCTGTATAAAAGGACCTTTTTTGATAGCAGGTGACAATGTGCCTATTATAAATTTAAGAAATGCAAATTTCTTTCTCTATTTATTGATGTAAAATAACAAAAGTTTCATACCAATCTTTTAGGGCTAGGTAACTTCAGACTCTCTTATCACTGTCTTGTCAGTTAAAGAGGCAACAACAACAACAACAAAAAATGAAGAGCAAACATACTTCTGTCTCCATCATGAGTCTGGACAGAGGAAATTCATTGTCACTATTCACAGGAGTCCTGACCCTAGACTATTGCCCTTTTAATGTTATTCTTGGTACATTCATGTTCAAGAACTCCGGACTTCTGAGGGACTTTATGAACTCAAAAGATGGTGACATTGTGCAAAATGTAACCTTGTTGGGCATACATTTTAAATTGAAGCCACATTCCATAAACTATTTTTATRTAGGCTTATGCACCGAATTTTGCATCTTCTATTTAAAGAGAAGGCTTCCAGGGATGTGGCTATGTTTCCCCCGCGACTGCTAGTTATTGCTGTTGTTGCTACTATTATTATTCATCACTTTTTATGATTTTTGTCTTCATTATTACAATAATTTTACGTGTTACCAATACGAGAACAAATATATAAGTTTATTGTAAGTGGTGTTATCAGTGTCTCCAAATCACTGTTTGAAAATAACACTCTTGGGGAAACTTAACATTGGACTGGTCACATATAAACAAACCCAGCCTCAGATTTATTTSTTTAGTAATTATGTGTGTGGAAATTACATTTTATAACTTAAAATAAATTTGAGGTTAGTTTATTACTAAGAAATTAGAGAAAATATACAACTTGACATCTTTTGTGCCTATCATTGTTTCTCCATATGCATAATTTTTACTCTTTCATTTAATAATGAGTAATTTTTTTT